ACTAATTTGCCAACTGATCCTATTCGAACAAACAGGGAGGAATCAGCATGACTTCTCTTGAACCCAAAATTTTCAAGTACCGAGCTCAGTTTGGCATACCAGGCACGAGGAGATTGTTTCAAGCCATAGATTGACTTATGAAGCTTGCAAGCCATACCTGAATTCTGTGCTTGTGGATGACTCGGGGGTAGTTGCATGTAGACTTCCTCTTCGAGGTCTCCATGTAAAAAAGCATTTTTTACATCCATTTGGTACAATGGCCATTCATGGTTCACTACAACAAATAACAAAACCCTTATTGTGCTCATCTTAGCCACGGGAGCAAATGTCTCCTTATAGTCCACTCCAAAAGTTTGAGTAAAACCGCGAGCCACCAATCTTGCCTTGTGTCGTTCAATTGAGCCATCAGAATTAAACTTGATTTTATAGACCCACCGACTGCCTACCACCTTCTTGCCTTTGGGAAGTTGAACTACACTCCAGGTTTTATTTTCATTCAAGGCTTTGAGTTCTTCTTCCATGGCTAGCCTCCACACAACTTGACAATTGGCTTCTTGAAAGTTCATTGGTTCACTTTCATAGGACAGTTTACTGAGGAAAACTGCATGAGAGTGAGAGACTTTGGAGTAATTTACAAACTTGTGAATAGGGTACCTTGCATGGTAAGTTTCATAGTCTTGCAGCCTTGATGGTGGATGTCGATCTCGAGTCGGATTCCTGCGGGGTTGAGCTGGGATCACAATAGGTTCAACTCCACTCTCTTGTATAGATGTTGTGTTATGGTCATGGGGAACTACTTGTGCTTCTGAGGCTTCAGTGTCGTCTCCAATAAGCAGGTTGTCATTAAGAGTTGCATGAGAGTCCCGGTTGTAAGGTAGTGAATGGACACAGTCACTTGGTTCGACTGGATTTGGCAATGGGAAGAGATCTAGGAAATGCTCCCCCTGACGATTTTGATCTGATGATTTGTTGAAATATGGTTGGTTTTCATCAAACCGTACATCTCTTGAGACAAACATCTTCTTGGAGCACGAATTGTAGCATTTGTACCCTTTTTGGGTGGAGGAGTATCCTATGAAAACACACTTGACAGCTTTGGGATCAAGCTTGTCTCGGTGATGGGATTGAATATGAACATAACAGGTACATCCAAAGATTCTCAGATGGGAAAGATTAATTTTTTTGTTATGCATAACCTCAGATGGTGATTTTGTATCCAGAACACGACTAGGCAGTCTGTTGATACGGTAGGTGGCTGCAAGAACTCCTTGAGACCAAAACCTCTTAGGCACATTCATTTGCAACATTAGCGCCCTGGTTTTTTCAAGTAGGTCCCGATTCTTCCTTTCGGCAATTCCATTTTGCTGAGGAGTACCTACACAACTTGTTTGATGTATAATTCCATGGGTGCTCAAATAGTTAGTCATATTTTTGGATGTATATTCAGTGCCATTATCAGACCTTAGTATGTGGATTTGGGACGAAAAATGGTTCATGACAAGATTATGAAAGTCCTTGAAAGCATCCATAACTTCACTTTTGAATTTTAGGAGGTACAACCAAGTGGCTCTTGAGAAATCATCAACAAAGATAACGTAGTACCTATAACCATAAAAAAACTCTAGAGGTGCAGGTCCCCAAACATCGGAGTGAACCATCTCAAACAACTTGCTAGTCCTAGACATGGAAGAATTGAATGGGAGTCTAGTAGATTTTGACAAATGACAAATTTCACATACAAGGGAGGATTTGCATAAACTAGGGAACAACGTAGACAACACAGATTCTGAGGGATGGGCTAGGCGTTGATGCCACAACCGATGTTCTAGGTTTGAGCTGACTTGGAACCCCTTTGGAACATTGAGGTCATCTGAAAAATAGTACAGCCCATTTAGGTAGTGACCTTCACCAATCAGCTTCTTGGTGGCTAGATCCTGAAAAACAACATTGTGGGGGGAAAAAATTGCACAACAGTTTAGAGAGTTTGTAATCCTTCCTACGGACAATAATTGAAAAGGAAAAGATGGAACATATAACGCTGTGGACTCAACAGTTTCTGAGATCAGTTTAACTTTCCCTCTACCTAGAACTGGCACACCTCTACCATTTGCTACAGAAACTAGTGATGGTTTAGTGTGGCTTTCAAAATCGTATAGCTTAGAATATTGATTTGTCATGTGATCTGTGGCACCTGAGTCTATAATCCAAAAATCATGAGAGTGACTAACATTTAGAGCAGTTGAAAGAGCACACATGATACCTGGAATGTCTCCTTAAGGTACATGACCAGATTCAGCTAAGAACCCTGCAAACTGTCCAAGAAGAGCAGTTTGACTTTCCCCAGTCGACGTTTCACCTGTGCTTTCTTTTCTGGTTTGAAGGTAGGTTGAGAACTTATTCAACAAGTCAGCCGGATTGGCTGTAAAGTTCATCGACCCACCGATGGATGTAGCAGCAACAACATGGTACTTGTTTGTATGTGGTCTAGCGTGTGAGCCCTTATGATCTCTTAAAAGCTTGTTCTCAAACCTTGGCTTCAACTCAGGGTGCAATATCCAGCATCGATCTATTAGATGTCCAACATTATTACAATGTAGACACTTCAGATCTGGCCTTTTTCCCTTGTATACTTTATCTCCAAATGACTTGTGATTTGTCACAAAAGCTCTAGCCTCAGACACACTAGGTTTTACGTCAACATTCATGACTTTTCTGCGTACTTTTTCTTGCTGGATAGTAGTGCAAACACTTGCAAATGATGGAAGTTCGGGATTCATTAGAATATGGCTTCTAAGATCTTCATATTCAGAACCCAAACTTGTAAGCAAATGAAAGATTTTGTCTTCCTCGGACCTTTTTAACAGTACGGCAGCATCGATAGTGTGTGGTCGATACATTTCTAGTTCGTTCCACATGTTTTTCATGCAACCGAGATGATGAACAAATGATTTATCACCTTGTTGAAGACTTGCAAGATTCCTCTTAAGCTGGAACACTCGAGCAGCATTGTTTTGATTTCCATACATGTCCTTGACTGCCTTCCAAAAAGCACTAGAGGATTCTGAAAAACTGAAAATTTCAGACAGCTTAGGATTCATGGAGTTGAGGAGCCACGACATGACCAGCTGGTCTTTGCACAGCCATGCTTCATACTCCGGTGATGCGACGTCAGGTGCTTCATACTCCGGTGATGCGACGTCAGGTGCTTTAATACTTCCATTGACGAATCCAAGTTTGGATCTTCCTCCAAGGGCAAGAGATATTGATTTGGACCATGGAAGATAGTTAAACTCATTTCAACACAGAACACAAACGTTGGTTTTGGTTGACTTCAGCTTCTGCAAAACTAGGGCGAGGAGCTGTGAAGCTTTCAGCTTCTGAGCCAAAAAGATTATCTTCTGCCATTATCGAAACGAATGTGCAGAAGAAGAGAAGGGACAACAATGGAGTCAGGCCGGTTAAGGTTCCGGCTCTGATACCATGTGGTAAATATGGAAGAGAATGCTTTTTCTCATTATGTTTCTCTACAAGATTACAAGGATATATATACATGATACAAGTGTGTAGGTAGGACAAGGTAGGACGGTTGTAGGACGGCTAGTGTGTAGGTAGGACAAGGTAGGACGGCTGTAGGACGGCTTGACGGTTGTAGGACGGCTTGACGGCTGTAGGACGGCTTGTAGGACAAGGTAGGACGACTGTAGGACGGCTAGTGTGTAGGTAGGACAAGGTAGGACGGCTGTAGGACGGCTTGACGGCTGGAGGACGGCTTATTCTTTCAATAGAGTCCCTGTATTGAAACATTCCTCTTCCTTAATATCCCCATTAATTATTCTTAGGTAGTTGGCTCTTGTTGTTGGTGAAGCTTGCCTCAGTGGCTTTTGTGACTTTGTTCCCTTGCCAGGATCTGGTGGGAGGAATTTATGATCATTCCCACCCCACTGTGGGATTAATCTCCCATCTTTCTTCGAATTATTTGTGTAATTACATCTTGTAGGTAGAGTCCCTCTTCTCCGCCTTCCAATCATCCTTGCGAAAATACCCGCAGACCTAGTTCTGACCCCAGATGGGATAAATCAGACGGAGGGGCCAGAGAACGAGCATTGGTTAGGTGAGATATAAGTAGGGTATAAGTGCAGAGGAAGCTGAGAAATAAGTTAAAAAGGGTGCGTTTGTTGCACCGGACTATCTCGGACTGGATTAGCTTTAGGGACTAAGCTAGACTGGCTTAGATTAGACTAAGTTGGACTGACTTAATGAAGCGTTTGGTGCAGTGTCAGACTAAAAAGAAGGATAATAACAAACTACAATATTATATTTTTTAATTCATATCTAATAATATTATATTAATTAATTCTATCTTTTTTATTCTAATAATACTCTCCCTCTCTCTGGAAGCGTCCATCCTTTTCTCCCTCTTTATCTCCCTCGTTCTCTCCGTCCCACACTCTCCTTCCCTTTCCTTTTTTTTTTTTTTCTGATTAATTGCCAAAAAAATTCTGCAAAACGAAGAATCGAGCTTGGTTTCTCTGGTTTTTGTTTGGTGCAAGATTCCAACTAGGGGGAGCTTTCCAATTCTGTGGATTCAATCAGAGCCGCAAGTCTTTGGAGCGGCGGAACCGACCTGCAGCGATTCCCAAGCGTGCTTAGAATATCTTCTATGCAGGAAAAGCCGACTGCTTTTGAGTCGTCGTCGCAGCAGCATAACTACAGTACCATCAGGATGGAGCAACTGTCGTCGTCGCGGCCAAGTTCGAGCTGAGCTCGGATCTCGGCGGAGCAGAAAGAGAAGAAAGCGAGGAGAGAGGAAGAGGGGAAGGGGGAATTGGCGAAGGGGAATGATGATGGCTCTCGGAGTTTGTGAACATAGAAGCAGCGGAAGACGCAAGGGAGTTAGTCCCTGCTAATCCCATGGTTCTCGACGGGTTTGCTAGCGAGGGAGTTAGTCCCCGCGAGTCCCTTCTAATCTCATTAAACTTAGTCCCGAACTGTCAACAAACATGGGACTAGATTACTGCATAATCCAGTCCAAGCCAGCGAAAGCTAGCGAGCTCAAACAAACACACCCTAAGGGTTTTGGTAGGGAAGAAATAAATTCTGGGAAAGAGGTTAATGGAAAAGGGGTTATCGCTTTGGTGGTTGGGATTGTACCCATGGAGTAAAAGGGGAGTAAAGATGGAGATCAGGTAGTTGGTTGAGTTCAACTTTTGAAACTATGGATCGATAATCGGTGGACGGCTCAGAGATGCTAACGAACCCACACAAAGGTGGGACTCTCACGGCGGAGAGAAGGGCTTTCACGGATGAGAGAAGGGAAGTTTACCATCTATGTGTAGTTTAATGTCTTCAAAGGGTTGCTTGGAACTGTTCACTTCACTACCAAAATGCAATTTGTTTCTGTCATGTCCTCCGTTATCACCCACACAGGAGAGGTCACCTTTTTTTACAATAGCAAACGACTCAACTTTTTCTTAGAAAAGGAAGTATTTATTTATTTTAGAAAAACGATAATCACAAAAAAAAAAAAAAAAAATTGCTATTTACATGTCCTTCTTTATTTATGACTATCATTTTATATAATATAAATGAAGACGAAAAATATTTAGGAAGAGAAAAAATCCATGTGACTAAATTACCATTTTCACTGTTCTAGTGTAATTAACATTTCGAGACTTAATGGCAAGCAACATCATGGAATAAAAATCAATCAAAGTGGGGTGCTATATTTTTATAACAAAAGGCTATATACTTTCTGATTGCCATCAAAGGTTCAAATATATACATGTAAATTAGATTATGTTATAAAATTGGTAGATATCTGGATGATACTTTTATTTTAACCAAGTACCTTTTTCAATTATTTAATTGAAGAATCTGTCACTTGTTTGCATTATGTTTCCATTGCATTAGTTGGGGGAGAATTTCAAGTCAATTTGTACATCCTAGAAAAGCATCATTTTATTAATGTTCTCTTATATATTTTTCATTTGTCAACTTTAGTACACATTTAACCGTTGAAATAACTGTTAAATTTAATCTAACTTAATTAGTTAAACTAAGTAGTTAGATTAAATCCAACGATTAAATAAGTGTCGGCGTTAGTGTCTGTAGACTTTGTACATACTCGAGAGAAATTGTTTTCTCTTGAATATTAAAAGGTACTTAACTTTTAATAAAAAATTTATACTCCATAAGTATTACTGAGTAAAGCACCTTGTACAAAAACATTTCCGGTCAAATTCTGAATTTTGACTGTGTTTATTATAAATTTAGTGTCACTAACATCAAAGTTTTAATGGTTTGCAGTGGTCATGGCAAACTATTGCAATGGGCTTCAGCTTCCTGGTGTTTTTATTCACAACGAGACATATTGTTAGCTTCCCCACTCTACTCTATCACCCGCAAGTATATAGCGTAAGGGTTACCTGCGCATTATTTTAAAGAAATAAAAGGTTGAGATTTAACTATAGCTCATTTAGTTAAATTTCAACCACTCATTGGTTACGGAAATAGAGAATTTTTACACAATTAGTTATAAGATTCACTCCACATCAAACTTCAACGACTTTAACTATCTATTTTTAAGTCTCAATTCATACATCGTCCTTACAAAAACTCAATTGAATCCTAAACCACTTGCCCATTTATTTGCTACAATGAAAGTTCAATGTTTCTTAGAACATAGTGTTCATCAATTTTTTTTTTAACTCAATTGGATCCCTCAAACATTTTTTATTTGGCTAATATTTTGCGATGATGATCTATGAGGTGCAACTTAAAAAATAATCAATTCGGATCGTTAAAGTTCGATGTGAGTTGATCCCCACAACTAATTCACAATTTCTTGGAAAAAAATGAGAATCTATTTCCTTAAGGGACCTGCAAGCATATATATGTCATCCTCTTCAAATTATATGTTTTATTAACTGTTACTGTTATTATTTGGATACAGAGCAAAACAAAACCAAAGCTCTTTAGGGTTGCAGCAGCAGCTCCATTGACATCGGTTATCATTTCCACACTTGTAGTCTTCCTCCTCAGTTCAAAAGCTCCTCGAATCTCAGTTGTAAGATCTCATGTCTGAATTTGGAAATTTTAGTTATCAACGTTGCTAGGCTCCTTCCATGAATTCCTTCACGATGATCACAGTTTGACACATGTATAAATTATTAATTAAAAATGCTAGAACTTTAGCTTCTGCACGTGCATCATACTGTGTTATAACGACTATAATTCTATTTCGTCACTAAATTGAACGTTATATGTAACAGATTGGCCATTTGCCAAAGGGTCTCAATCCACCCTCATCAAACATGCTATACTTTAGTGGCCCTTACCTTGCTCTTGCTATTAAAACTGGCATTATAACTGGGATTTTGTCTCTCACAGTAAGTCACCCAATTCTTGGATCCATCTCTCTTTTAACTGTGGCACTCAGAACTGTCACCATAGTACCAACACTCTTCGAAGTTTTTCTCCTTGCGAGGCAGTCCTTCACCTATAGCTATTAAACACGCGTTCGCTTATCATTCTTGCATTGTAGGAAGGGGTTGCAGTAGGAAGGACTTTTGCATCTTTGAAAAACTACCAAGTTGATGGAAACAAAGAAATGATGGCTATTGGGCTCAGGAACATTTCTGGTTCTTGCTCTTCATGCTACGTTACCACAGGTGAAGATCCTCACATTCTTATTTGACGTCAAAGCAATGCAAATGCAGTAATTAGTCGAAAACCGTAACTTTCTTTTGGGTAAAGTATAAAAAACTACCTCAACTATTGGTCTTACGACACTTTCATACTTCATTTTTTTTAAAATGACAATGTCATACCCCATCTTACGAATTTGTGTTAATGTCATGCCTCCCCGTCAGTTTTTCTGTTAGTTTTTCTCTTAAATGCTGACGTGGCTTGACTTAAATAGTGACGTGGCTTAAATAAATTACTAAAATATTAAAAAATTAATTAAATATTAAAAACTAAAAAATTAAAATCATTTAATTTTTTTTTACATGGGGACCCACCCCCTTTCCCCCTCCCGTCTTCCCCAAATCCGATCCACCCCCTTTCTCCCTTCTCTCATCTGCAAACCCACCCACCTTTCTTTCATCTGCAACTCACAATCACCCTCCCTTCTCTCCTTTTCATCGTCAACTCCATCCACCAACAACCATCACCTTCTTCCCCATTCTAACTGACGACATCGAAGTCGCCGATCTCCAATGCACCAACCTCACCCCTCTCCGGGTACCCACTCCCTCCATTGATCTCCTCCCCTTCCTTACCAAATTACCCATATAGGTTCGAATACTTTTGCGAGATGGATTTTTGAACTTTTGTTAATGGTGTGTTCTCAGGATTGGTGGGTACTTTGTTTTTTTATGCATGCTTGTAGGTTAAAAATAGAGAGAGCGGCGGAGGAAGAGAAGAGAGGCACCTAGTGGGAATGGGAGTGGCTGGTTTAGGGTGGGATCTAGGTTTGGGTTAGGGGAAGACGGCAACCTCGTCGAACCCAACCTTAACAGCTCTCCCTCTCTCCCTTTCTCCTTGACAGCTTCGGAGACGGCAACGACGGCGGATCGGCGGTGGGCAATGGAGTGGGAGAGGGAAGCGGGTTGGAGCTTGCAGGTAGATCGGAGAAAGGAGGGCGATGAAAAAATTCAAGTGGGTTTGGGGGGTTCTGGGCACGGCGAGAGAGAGAAGTGGGGAGGAAGGAGACTATGGTGGAGATGAAAGGGAGATGCGAGAGAGAGGGGAGAGAGAGGGTGGTAAAGGAAGGTTGGGGGGATGGGTGGGAAGGGGTTTTGGGGATGTAGAGAAGAGAGAGAGGCGAGAGAAAGGAGAGAGAGAGAGAGAGAGATTTAATATACTTTTTTTTCAAATTTTAAATTTTAAATTATTAAAATATATATTTAATTATATTTTAATCTAGGTGGATTAGTGAGTGACCTCCGTATCTAGCCACGTCAGCATTTAACAGAAAAACTAACAGAAAAACTGATAGAGGTATGACATTGACGCAAATTTGTAATATGAGGTATGACATTGTCATTTTAAAAAGATGAGGTATGAAAGTGTCGTGAGACCAATAGTTAAGATAATTTTTTGTAAATTACCCTTTTCTTTTTCATTTTCAGGTTCGTTCTCTAGATCTGCAGTAAACTACAATGCCGGAGCACAAACTGTGGTTTCGAACATTATTATGGCATCAGCTGTGCTTATCACTCTGCTGTTTCTAATGCCATTGTTCTACTACACCCCCAATGTCATCTTAGCAGCCATCATCATAACCGCTGTGAGCGGACTCATCGATTACCAAGCTGCATACCGGTTGTGGAAAGCTGACAAGCTCGACTTCATGGCCTGCATGTGCTCCTTTGGCGTTCTCTTCATTTCCGTCCCTTTTGGTCTTGCAATTGCAGTAAGATTTCTAAGATTGTTATTTCTATTGGGTTGAATGACGTTTGTCAACTTTCGATGTCTAACATCTTGCTGTCAACTTTCAGGTTGGAGTATCGATTTTCAAGATTCTTCTTCACGTCACCCGGCCAAACACTATGGCTCTAGGGAACATTCCGGGGACACAGACAAACCACAATCTCAACAGATACAGAGAAGATTCAAGGATTTCTTCATTTCTCATACTAGCAGTTGAGGCACCTATCTACTTCGCAAATTCAACTTACCTACAAGAAAGGTACGTATCCGGCAGACCTAGAAAACAGTACAGATATGATCATCTTCTTGCTTTCTCATCTGATCTATGGGTTCTGCTACTGCAGGATATTAAGAGGGGTTCGTGAGGAAGAAGAAAGTATCAAAGCAAGCAACGAGAGCGCCCTCAAATGTATAATTTTGGACATGACAGGTACGACATTTAAGAAATCATTGCTCAGTCTTATAACATAATCATTATGTAACAATATGGCCGCGAATGTTTTTCCGCATCTTGCTTACAGTTTTTCATCTTCTTCTCAGCTCGACACGAGTGGTATCGACATGATGTCCGAACTTAGAAAGATGCTGGAAAAGTGAGCACTTCAGGTGAGAATTAGCAAAGCACTCGAATAAGTTCCGAATTTTCAGTCAGTTCTAGACATGCTTTCTTATCTTGTTGTTTTGGTGCTTGGCAAACCCTGTTGGAAGTGTGATGGAAAAGCAACAACAATCGAAAACTTTGGAGGCTTTTGGATTGAACGGGCTCTATCTTACAGTCGGAGAAGATGTAGCTGACATTTGATCAGACTTGAAGGCTCAACCATGACGCACTATTTTCTTTCATTTTGTTTTGAATTAAGAAATTTTGAGGTTTATTGTCCGAGTTCTGGGTAAAGATTTTAAGCTTCAACCGAGTGTTGCATGATGAAGAAAAGCTCAGCAATATGTAAAATCACACCACAAAAAGGCAGTTAGATGTTCGGTTAAGTGGCACTAATCCAATCTCTATGAGAGGGTTTAACATCTAGTTCTCGATATAAAAGTAGCCAAAGATTGGCCATAAAGGAAAAATTTTCATGTGCAACACTTGCTACTAATTCATGCGTTATAACACGATCTGATGACATATTTATCGTTTGGGGGTATTAGCAAATACACACACGTTATAAAATAGAGAACCAGTAATACCATATGGCGGTGTTACTCAGATGCTGAAATTTTTTTAGCATTCCTTAAGAATACATTCTGCAAGCCTTTCTGTCTATTCAAATTCCAAGTTGAATGAAATGTGCATCATCGAACGCATCAGGAAGCAAAGCTTGTGTCTGCAAGTGCAAAAGGTTTGGTGGAACCACATAGAATTTGTTTAAACCCTAAACCCTAAACTTTTTGGCTTTTGGTTTTGTCTTCAATTTTTGCACCTGAGATATGGAGAAAGTATAAAGGAGAAAGGAGGGAAGAAAATGGGTGGTGAGAAGGAGGGAAAGAAATAAAGAACGAACGAAAACAAAATCTTTGAAAGTGTAGATAACTTTAGATAGGTTTTGACTTTCTTTTTGTATACCCTTTATACATTTCGTCTACATTTCTCCCAACATCCTTGCACAAAAAATACAAACTAAAAACCAAATGGTTATCAAACAGACCCTACAACTTTCTGATGCAGATTAATTAGAGAAACTATGACAATCCTAGAGATATGGAGTATGATAACAGAGTTTGATATACAAGCAACAGCCAGGAGGAAGTGAAGAGGCACATCTTTCGACCCTACACTTTCTTATAAAGTAACCGAATTTCTATTTGATTAATCTTATTAAGAAAATTCTTGAGCTTGCAACTTGTGATTTTAGCTAAATTAGAAAGCATGCCTAAGATCAACATAAACAAACAGGGAAAGAAAAATTCCTACCGGGTTCAAGCATTCTGTATCGGAATCCCAATTTAGAAATCCTATAATAGTCTGACCGCACGAAAGAATTACCAAAAATGGGTAATAAAATAAGAATATTGCAACCAGAATTGACAAGGCGTATCATGTTTATAGAAAATCAAATAGAAGGAACAATGATCTCAAGAAACATGGTAAGCATTACTCTACTCAAAACCACCAAAATTGCACATTAAGATTTCCAAACACAATGCATACCTAGTCTCATGTGCTTAGACCTCCCCATCATTTAAAGCACCGTGTTGAACTTTACACTTGTTCTCTGTAACAGCCACCATCAGAGACAAAAGAATCCACATATTATGGTAGTTTCTCTCCTCATCACAGATCGAATTTGGTATTCATTATCTTTATCCAGAAGCTCCTCAGCAACGAAAGAATAGCCGTAATAATCCCACGTGAATGTTTGTTCTTGCCTGTAGAGTTTCTCGTCAGTCAAACATCTGCATGGAGATAGTTCCATATTAATTTTGTAGATATAACGATTTGAGAAGAAAGAAGAAAAGGCAATCATGCAATTGCTTGACCAAATCTTAATTCTGTATCTATAAAGCTATGACCAATCAAAACATTATCCAGAATACTGATTAATGCAAGCAATGGAACTTTTTTAGAATGTAAAGCAACCCACCAGCAGGCCCAACTTTTGGAGAACATAAAAGATCAACCAAAAAGACATACACGAATGGGAAGTCCAAATCGTGATTGCTTAACAACTAATTTTTTTTTTAAAAAGGCAGACGATGTATAACTCATTTAATAAGCAGGAACGCAGCCCATAAGTATTATCATATTCTTTTCATCTAGGAAATAGCAGAAAGATTCTTTTTGTCGAAATAACAACACATGGTTAAAAATAAATGAAAATAGCAGCAAATGGAAAGGAAGTGCAAGTTCTTGATGTATACAATAAAAAATAGCAGAAATAGTATAAAGACTCCACATACTTGAACATAAAATTGGCCCCACAAAAAAAAAAAAATCAAGGGTTTCTTCATAAAATAGCCCGCTTGCATAGGTCCATTAAGAAACTAACCCTTTTTAAAGAAAGTAAGAAAATAAAAATGTTTCAGACTTGAAAGAACAAAGACAGGGAAGATGTGTGAGTCAAGATGTGAGACAAAATCTTGTATTTCAGGCTCAACCCACATCTCGGCTATACATACCCCCCTTGAAATAGCTCACCTAAAGGTGAGTTTTCTATTGGGTCTATCTGCAAGGGTTACGTAAAAAAACCCAAATTCTCCCAAATGAAAGTACACCCAGACAAAAACTATATTCAACAAACAAATGAACATGACAACTTTATGTTGGTATATCTAGCTAGTTAAGGGCGGAAAACCTCTTACTTGCACGATATCGTGTTATCGGAATCTCGCGCCGTTCACGTTTAAAGCAGAGATATTCACCTAGCACAGCCATCAAGGCAACTCCAGTAACATTCGCAACCCACCATGTTATTGACGAAGGCCAACCCCCATAAGCGATGCATAGAAAGAGATGTACAATGTATAGGGTTGCTGAAAAATCTAAGCACTTCTTTGCCCTCTCAATCAGAAGAAGCAGATATCCAGCGCTGTAGACAAAAAGATGCACAATTCATAATTCACACAAGATTAATGAGCTCCATCTACAAACAGAAAATAAAATCAATTTTGTGTTCTGACAATAAAAGCTCAATGTAGATGCAGACACTCAACAAGATGGAAACACAACAAAATCAAATTGAACAGCAACTGAAAATAGAAGTAGAATGAGATTCTCACCCTGCAAGAGCACTGAGCAGAAATGAGCCAATGACGCACCACCCGGTGACAGTGGAGACAGTAAGAGTAGCATAGTCAAAGAAATACACAAGGCTCATTCGAGACACGCGAGTGCCAACAAAAATAGACAAGAAGAACCCCAAAGTGAGATAGTATAAACATTGAAGGCACGCAATTTGGACAACAATGAGCCAAGGGTCCCATACCAATGTACCATAGAACATTGTCTGCTACAATAATCAAATTCTCACACCAAAAGGCCCTTCAAACTCTCAAACCCGTAAAGACATCTTCAAAAGCATGAATAACCCACTTCCCAATTGCTCTCAAAAATCAAACCCAAACCCAAGTCTCCAACTTCAGGAACAATTAGAGCTCCCCATAATCCCAATGCTTAATCAATAAGGTTGAACCCGAAAAAATCAATCTGATTTTACAAAATTCTGGATTCTACTCTAACATTCATGTCACTGAACTCCGAGTTGAAACCCATGAATAATACAAAAATTGGATCTGAATTTAAAAACCTAGAATCTGAGGGATTTTCCCAGTAAAGAAATAACAAAAAAAATTAAAATTCTCTCGAGAAAATTGGGAATTCAAGACCTAATTAGAACTCATATGAAATTAAACGTGTACTGGAAGATGCAATCTGAAATCGAACAGGAGGCAGAGGAATTGGAAAACCTAGATCGAGAACGACGAAGAGCTTGAAGCTGACCGTTGAGAAATCGGCGATGGAAATTGCAGAGTCTCTGAGGAAAGCCTTTTCTTCTCTTCTTCTGGACTCTGTTGTAATTTTATTGTTTAACGAATGATATTCGTTTGTAAAAGATGCTTGCTAATTCATTCAAAAATTCCTAATTATTTCTTCTTCTTTTTTTAATTTTTTGTTCCTAATTCTTTCTTCTTCTTCTTTTTTTTAAATTTTTTGTTACTAATTCTTTCAAAAATCCTTGTTTGTTATGTTTCCTTTTTGAATTATTTTTGTTTTTGTTTTTGTTTTTTTGAATGAAACGATAGCATTAGTAAGTTAAATGTTAGATTAACTACCAACAAGATTTGAACTCACGTCGTCATGCAAATGCACAACATCTTTCTCCTATTGTAGTAAATGACCGCTTACATTTTTGAACTATTTTAGTGTAGAGAATTGTGATGCTTTTCATATTTATAGTTTGATAACTAATTCATACGAGATTTTTCATCGTGTTCGTCCACATCTTCAAAACAATTTTTTATGATCTGAAAATTTCATTTCTATATTTGTAATTTTACATGTAGATGCATATCTTATTTAAATAATTGTGAGTTGATCTAAAATTATAGTTTGTGCCTCTTAATTTATAAAACGCGCCCCCCGGGCCAACACTTCTAGCTGATATATGGTTAGATTAATTAACTTTATAATTTGATTACTTTGTTTTTTGTTTGAGCTGATGAGAGAATGGAGTGAGAAATAAAGAAATTATGGAAAGAATATGTGGATAATATATTTCAAAATTTTTAAATCATTTGTTTTTTAAGATCAACCCTTGGATTTAGTGATACTATATTATTCATCATTTTGTTTTGTTTCATGGTTTTTTTTTTTATATGTTCACTATTGATTTTGTTGATTGATCACATAATTTTAGTTATAAATTTTCTTTTAATTATGATACTAATACATGTAATTTTTAATTGTTTTAGTACATTTTGGTGAGATAATGTAATAACTAATAAGGCAGAAAGCAAATGATCTGTTTATAATCTATGCACAGGGCCTTCGAAATCTTAAAGATGACCCTGCATAGAACCATAGTAAAAACCTTTCATAAAATCTCGTTGTATGCATATGTTGTCTCAATTCGCCGGAAGTAGCTTATCTATAGTAGGATACTATTGTAAGTGTGCATGTATCTAAAGTTAATCATATATTGTCTTGTGTTGTAACATTTTCACATGACCGTGTATTGACTTTGAATACAACCACATCAACATTCTTGTTGTAAGAGCATCACCAATGGAGTCCTACCACCATTACCTCCGTATGTTTTTAAATTTAGAGAATTTATGAGAATTTATAACTTCCAATGGGGCAGAGCTCCAATCTTTATAGTAGTGGGACTAGCCTGAGTTCTTAAAATTTTCCTCACATTTGAGGACTACATAGGGACAACTTTGAGTGAGACAGGGAGGCCACCCATGTGAAAGCTTGCATGCTTCTTCCAACCGTTGGCTTTGAGTGGTGTTGTTATAGCTTATCCACTTCCTCTGGCAGTGCGGGTGTACACTAGTCGCCAGATAGCTGCTAACACGTTGCAAACATGGGTCCCACATGCTTTTTTTTTCTATAATAAAAAGGTATTTGTATTTTCAATTGAGATGGGATGATTCTTTAAATATTAAAAAATAATCAATAACATCAATGTATATTGTCTCCTGCTTAGATTGATAAATCCAAGAGAAATTACTATATCCTCTATTCAAAGAGGCAAAATGAGTCTGGATATTTTGACGATTCAGAAAGATGTAACTCTTGTAGAATTTATTGAAAGGGGATTTTTTATTATTGAACCAATTCGTCAAGCTATAAAAAATGATGGAAAATTTATTATGTATCAAACCCTCAGTATTTCATTAGTTCATAAAAGTAAACACCAAATAAATCAAAGATACCGAGAAGAAAAAAAACATGTTGATAAGAATTTTGATGAAGTCAGTACAAAACATCGAAAGATGACTGGAAATAAAGATTAAAAAAATTATGATTTGTTTGTTCCTAAAAATATTTTATCGCCTAGACATCGTAGAGAATTGCGAATTCTAATTTGTTTAAATTCTAAGAATAGACATAGCAAGGCATCTTTTTGTAATGGGAATGAGGTAAACAGTCAAGTTGTGGATAAAAGCAAAAAATTAAAAATTAAAAATTAAAACTTATTAAATTAAAGCTATTTCTTTGGCCCAATTTTCGATTAGAAGATTTAATTTGTATGAATCATTATTGGTTTAATACCAATAATGGCAATTGTTTCAATATGGTAAGGATACATATGTATCTGCGATTGAAAATTCATTAATAGTACATTTTTCCTATATTTCTCATACCATATCTAGTCTATGACGACAAAGAGATGCACACATACATCGTCTTACATTCCATTCTGATACGTGATACTAATTCAATGACATATCAATTAGATCTAGAATGAACAAAATTTCTTATTTTAGGTCTAAACTTTTATCTTTTGGGAGTGAAGAAACCAACCATACTTTTGTATCCCCTTTCAAATCCAAATTTAAAATGAAAGTAGGATTGAGTAAGTTTTATTAAATTAAAAAAAATTGAAATTAATAACGAAATTCAAATTATTGTATATTCCAAATAAAAATTTGGGGCATTATTATTACTTATCAATAAATATATCTATTAATAAAAAATATCTTAAAATAAGAAAAGGGGGAGAGAAGATTTTCGTTTATGGTAAAAAATTCATTCATCTCAGTTATTTCACAAGAAAAAAAAAGACGAAAATAGAGGATCTATTGAATTTCAAATAGTTAGTTTTCACCAATAGTGTCACATCCCAGCCTGGGCCCCCACCACATTCCGAGCTCAACTCCACCGTAGCACGATATTGTCCGCTTTGAGCCTCAACCATGCCCTTACAGTTTTGTTTCTTGGAACTCACATGAGAACTTCCTAGTAAGTCACCCATCATGGGATTGCTCTCGCACGGTTTCGCTTAACTTCGGAGTTCCGATGGAACCCGGAGCTAGTGAGCTCCCAAAAGGTCTTGTGCTAGGTAGGGATGAAAATATACATATAAGGATCACTCGCCTGGGCGATGTGGGATCTTACAATCCACCCCCTTAGGGGCCCGACATCTTTGTCGGCACACCACGGCCATTGATTGGCTCTGATACCAAATTGTCACATCTCGACCTGGGGTCCACCACATCCCAGGCCCGCTCCACCATCGTAGCACGATATTGTCCGCTTTGGTCTCCGACCATGCCCTCACGATTTTGTTTCTGGGAACTCACACGAGAACTTCCTAGTAGGTCACCCATCATGAGATTGCTCTCGCACGGCCTCGCTTAACTTCGAAGTTCCGATGGAACCCAAAGCCAGTGAGCTCCCAAAAGGCCTTGTGCTAGGTAGGGATGAGAATATACATATAAGGATCACTCCCCTGGGCAATGTGGGATCTTACAAATAGGATATGAAGACTTACTTCACATTTACAATTACACAAAAAAGGCTATTTATCTCAGAGAGGTTTAAGCAAAATTTTGGGAAAATGCCAACTATTACTATCTTATTCGTCAAAGAAAAATAGAATATGTTATAAAGCATTAATTAATCAGTTGAATATTCATGAATCAAAAACTCGTTAATTTTATAAAGGCATTTTGATTTATTAGATCTTGAATTTTAATGAACTTTTTTCATTTTAGCAATTCATGAAAGAATGAAATGAGAAAAAACCTATGAATATACTGACTACAAAAAAATACCTCGTGATAGTCAATATGGGCCCCCACCATCCATCAAGGGTTATTTACACTCTAGATGGTGAAGATGTTATTGACTGTGAACCAATATTGGGTTATTTACACCGAGGAATGGAAAAAATTGCGAAAAATCGAACAATTATACAATATTTGCCTTATGTAAAACGATGGGGTTATTTAGCTATTATGTTCACAGAAGCAATAACTGTAAACAGACCGAAACAGTTGGGAAATATTCAAGTACCTAAAAGAGGCAGCTATATGAGAATAATTATGTTGGAGTGGAGTCGTATAGCTTCTCATCTGTTATGGCTCGGTCCTTTTATGGCGGATATTTGTGCACAAACTCCTTTTTTCTCTTTCTATATTTTCAAAGAAAGAGAATTAGTATATGATCTATTCGAACCTACCACCGGTATGAGAATGATGCATAATTATTTTCGTATCGAAGGAGTACCAGCTGATCTACCTCATGGTTGGATAGATAAATGTTTGGATTTGTGTAATTATTTTTTAACAAGAGTTGATGAATATCAAAAACTTATTACAGGAAATCCTTTTTTTTTTAGAATGAGTCGAGGGAGTAGGCATTATTGGTAGAGGGGAAGTAATAAATTGGGGTTTATCGGGACCAATGCTGCAAGCTTCCGGAATATAATGGGATCTTCGTAAAGTTGATCATTATGAATGTTACGACGAATTTGATTGGAAAGTACAATGGCAAAAAGAAGGAGATTCATTGTCTCGTTATCTAGTTCGAATTGGTGAAATGATAGAATTCGTAAAAATTATTCAAACAGGCCCTAGAATGAGTTACAAGGGGACCCTATGAGAATTTAGAAATATGATACTTTGATAGAGAAAGGAATCCAGAATGGAATGATTTTGAATATCAATTTATTAGTAAAAATCCGTCTCCTACATTTGAATTGCCGAAACAAGAACTTTATGTGAGAGTCAAAGCCCCAAAGGGAGAATTGAGAATTTTTCTCATAGGGGATTAGAGGGGTTTTCCTTGGAGATGGAAAATCAACCCGCCGGGTTTTATCAATTTGCAAATTCTTCCGCAGTTAGTTAAAAGAATGAAATTGATTGATATTATGACTATATTAGGTAGTATAGATATCATTATGGGAGAAGTTGATCGTTGAAATGATAATTGATACACCGGAAGTACAAGATATCGATTCTTTTTCTAGATTAGAATTTTTAAAAGAGTTTTATGGAATTTTATGGGTTCTTGTTCCTATTTTGACTCTTGTAGTGGGAATCACTATAGGCATATTGTAATTGTATGGTTAGAAAGAGAAATATCGGCAGGGATACAACAACGTATTGGACCAGAATA